AACAGACAAAACACATTCTGTGATTACTGCATTACAGCTGTACCAAAACAATCTCTTGAACAAACATTTATTGCAAGTATTGTAGAAAAAAAAATATTTGTTGTGAAAAACCTTTTTCTGTGCAACTGGAAACATGTAAAAATATGATTTTCTGTACCATATTGGATCAGATGTCCTGTGCTGCAATCTTTGGCAACTGTCTTTGCCAATGCAAAACGTCAATTTCGGAATCCTTTTTTTTAAAATTTATTTTTAATTGAGGCCACAATTAAGGGAACCCTTGCTCCTGCTGCATGCACAGCTGTCTAACAGGCATTAGCTTTGCAATGCAAGGTTAATGCTAACTCCCAGCATCACAAAGACATACCTCTTGATTATGACTGATCTGGTATGTTTTAATCAAGCTCCACTATGTCACAAGGGAGCTGCTTTGTTCCCTTTGGGATATGCAGATTTCCTTAGGGAGGTATAGCAAAATGTGTTTAGTACTAATGGATATTTACACTCAACTCAAAATATTTCTTGTCATACAATGCTATTTGTATCTCAATGAAGCAGATGAAAACAGTTATTTGGAGAAATGAGAAACCACAGTGTTGGTGGTTTTTGATTGGCATTTTGACCAGGCATGTTTGTTAATAGCCCCAGATTCTTTGCGATTACAATCAGTTACCCCTGCTTCCTGCTGTCATGATGTTAGATTTATGGAAATGAGGCCATCATAATCCTGATCAGGTTGTCGGTTTACTGTGTGAACTGAGGTTTGTGACCCTGTAGTAATTGCCTCTTGGAATCGTTTATGTATTGCTTGACATACCAGCAAATCCAAGAATCCCAGTTATTTTTTTGTTGTGACCTTGGCCAGGTGTCAAAGCTTTTGAGTTGGCCTTCTAATAGCATGAAGAGAATTTCAATTGCAATATACTGCAGTATAATTACTCTGAAACACTGTGGTAGTCTAGGGGTTTTCGAGGGATTTTGTGGAATGGTTTTCTAAATCTATATAATTGGCCATAATTAGAAAAAGGAAATATGATCTTCTGCATATGAAGACACAGCTTTTCGCCCGAATGCTCATTTTAAAGTAAGGAACTAGGAACCAGTTACTATTTTTTTTACAGAGTAAGGAAGTTGTTAGATAGGACAGAACACTATCCTTAAAATCCTCAAAAATTGCTTTACAGCACCAAAGGTCATATCATCTGCCAATAGGATCAAATTATATACTACAATTTTAAGAAATGGAAAGAGTAACTATCTGCCCGAATGTATTAAGATGCAACCTTTGTGTCATATGTGTAGACTTGAGTGTGTTCAGACATGAGAGGGTTGAATCTTAACCTGCAGTCACACCGCCTTACTATGGATGTTGGCATATCTAAATACACATCTCATCTGGGTCTGAGTCTGAAGATCTGACGTGCATTTTGTGAAATATTAAGTCCCACCATGTCCACAAAGTAAGTGTGTCACTTTTGATGTGCTCGTATTTTGTATGGTGTTTGGAATAATGGGTGTAAAATTCTATCGTTTCTACTGCATCAAGACGAGGTACTTCACCATTACCAAAATATCACTTTCTTGGTTTACTTTCCTTCCATTCTTAATGCTGGCCTTAACAGGTTAAATAATGTGCTGCTATGAATCAGTATCTTGGATTCCAAATAAGAAAGAGAGATGTCCCTTGGGTAACTGGATCTGAGCACTAGGTGGATAAGCAAATGTATGAAAAATAGTGTTTCAAGGAGCATTATTCAATCTAGCAAAAAAGACTTTGAAAAAAATATCTCTAAGCAAAGAAAAGCAAATACCAGCATGTGCCAACTCTAAGTGTCTAAGTGTTTAGACATCAAAGCTTCAAACTATGGTTGAATTGCTGGATTTTGATGTTTGCTATTTGTTAGCAAATACAGACCAGGCTATGCTTCATTTTGGGTGCATTTAAGAGATTGATTTTTATCTATATTCTATTTGGAACATTGTTGAAATACTGTCTCCAACAAGTATGGTGATTGCAGGGGCAGTTTTAGGACACCCTTTAGAACCATTCCCTGAGAACACTCTGAAATACACTGGCAGAACATTTAATCTCAGCACAAAAACGTGTGAATTTTCTTTTTCTAAACATCATTAGAAAGGGCAATCATTGGTTTAGATGTAGGGGTCCCTAAAACTCTAACATTTCTGATGCTTGTCTAAGAGTGTGCTACTGGGGACTTACAGATCCATTCAATAAATTAGCATACTATTGAAAGTTCATTTATGTCAGTAACTCAGTTCACTAAGTGAAACACTTTATATAGATTAATTACACACAAACTATTTGAAAGCATTTTTTCTGTCATTTATGATGATTTTAGGAGAACATTTAAGATTAGAATATTACAGACAAAAGATCATTTTAATAAAGAAATGTGGGCTTAATGTAAAGTATATTGAATACCTGCTTAAAGGATGTTATTCTCAAAAAGTACTTTTAATCTGACAAAAAAGTCTCATCGGAATGCATATTCTAATTTACTGAATATCACTGTACTTAAACCACCTAGGCACCTCTGTCCCTCCGATACATTTTGTTTCTGCCACATATGAGCTCCATTGGTGGGAGCTATTAAGAAATGCCCTACCTGTCAGTCCTGTTTTTGCTTTTTGTAAACTCATGCCAGTTTATAGATTTTCCACTAACTGTGTAAATTTTTATGTTAATAAACTTTCTATTCAGCTAGTCATCAGTTCCTTACTCCCTATTGCTTTTGGGTCCTCATTAAGGCCACACAAATTATGGCATGCATCCATTGAGTTACTATATATATTGTCTGATTTATGTTGAATCAGACAATATATATATAAAACAACAAATCTTGCATAGATTATAGTTGCTGTACAGATTAGCAAACTTAATGGAACATTTCCTTGAAACTTAAAAACCATCTGCTTATAAACTTGTTGCAATATATCTTATGGTCATTTTCCAGTGATGCTGTATGAACTGCTAATGGTAAAACAATTTCATATGTTCTACCATTTAAATAAATATGAATATAAATTTAACAGGTTTCCCCCCTTTGATGCCTGACTGTGTTGTATTTGGTCATCAGTGCCAAAGTATCTCAAGTGTATCTAAATTACATGTGAATGGGGGACAGTCACTGAACTGTGACTCAATTACAAGAAGATGACAAAAGGAGCCATTTGACTGCTTTTGTCTGGAGTCCACATAGCAATCATATTTGCTACTTGTAAATTGAATTAGACGACAGGGACGGGACCAGGTAAAAGGCAGACTCAAGGGGTCTTTTTTCTCGTCAAGACTAATTGTGTCTCTGAGTGACACAAAGGCTTGAATAGAGAAAGTGTAATCGGATGGCTGTGTGCTTGTTCATCAGCCCAGAACCCTTCTGCACCATTGACTCCTCTGTCTGTGCCTATGACAACAGCTGGGAACTGCAGTGCACTGATTGTTGCATGAACCCTATAGCAGAGAAAATAGACATGTTTTAGGCTGTACTGGTCAAGAAAACCCACACCATCTAACTGAAGCAATAGATGGCGTGATTTAAGACAATTCAATTTAGTTTATATATATGGCGCCAATTCACAACACATGTCGTCTCAAGGCACTTTACGAAGTCAATTCAATGAAATATATGACATATCAACCAATAAACTCAAGTGATTGTTTTGCTCGTCACATTCAAACATTCAATCTGTTTATCGCATTTTCTAATATAAGAAAGGACAGTTTGTTTCATTTTATTTTGACGCACTTGTGCTTTCATTTACATGCTATAGACATGGCTTGCTATGTTTCAAACTGCCTGTTTTTATTTCTGAGAGAAGCAGCTTATGATATTCTTTCTGCTTCATGGATTTGTACACAGCAGTTGAAAAGCTGAAAATGAACCCTTCTGCATGTATACATGGGGCAGAATTTATGTAAACCTACTCAACCAGACAACAACAAAACTAGTGCAGGGCTGAGATAGACTAAGTCATCTGTAAATTTTGACTTGTTCCATGCATTTATTTATTTTTAGTTGAAGAAATATCAGTTGTTTCATAGCCGAAAAACAAAAGTAGATGTTTGACAGAACAGAACCATGAGTAGGTTAGGAAGCAAACACAACTTCAACAATGCTTGAATCACATTCAAATCTAATGAATTTGATTCATAAAGATACAATACTGCAGGTACAGAGGGTAAAAAGAAACGGGCTGTGTGACCTAAGCCAGAATGTATTACCTTTGCACAATATCCTGGAATATGTCTTTTATGACCTTCCCCTTCAATATTGCTGTAAATCCACTTCAGCCTCTCTATATCATATTTTTTTCAAACTTGGTTTTATAAATTTAAATGTTACGTTACTTAGGATGTCAAGGGCAAAACGTCTTTATCTTATAAATTTTATTAAATTGAGCAAAAACTACAAAAGACATATTTTATTTTGAATTTAATGAATTGTAAAGTGCTAAAAAGCATAGTTTGCATCTAGTATCGGAGTTAAGAGAAAAATAAAATCATGAACACCAAAATGTAATAAAGTATTGTCTTTTAATTTAATTTTTATTCAACATGTACTGAACATTTTGAAAAAAAGGGAGTAACTAAAATAACATGAATGGTACAGGATAGAAATGGGGACAAAAACTGGAATTTTCTAACTGAGTAGCAACATTTTTCCTGCAAGAATAAAATATACTATGTGTATTTTCACCTCAGAAACCTTAATTTATCTACTGACCAGTATTCATTCATTCATCTTCTATACCGCTTATTCCATAGTGGGTCACGGAGGAGCTCGTGCCTATCTCTAGCAGTCTATGGGCGAGAGGCAGGGTAGACCCTGGACAGGTCGCCAATCCATCGCAGGGCAACACAGAGACATACAGGACAAACAACCATGCACACACTCATTCACACCTAAGGGCAATTTAGAGAGACTATTTAGCTAACAGTCATGTACCCGGTGAGAAACCAGGGATAACATACAGACTCCATGCGGAAAGACCCCCAGCTGAGAGTAGAACCCAGGACCTTCTTGCTGCAAGGCAACAGTGCAAGGCAACAGTGCTACCAACTGCGCCACCATGCAGCTATTTATAGACCTTTTTTTAATACTGATAAAAATTACCAAAACCGCAGAAATTTTTGTTAATAATTTAATTGCTGACTTTCACCTTCAGCCGTCTGTGAAGGCAGAACGGTTTCATGACAAATTCATTTTGTTCTATTTTGAAACAGTGACAACAGAAACAAGTTATTATGCAAAAATGAAACAATCATAAAGCCTACATTTCTGTTTTGTTAACATACTTTAGGTAAGAAAGAACCAAGGCTGCTGGTGCTGTAAATGCCTCTGTGCACTGCCCTGTTGAGACACACCAGCCTGCATTTTTGTGTCAAACGTCTATATTACTTGTTTCTTTACTGTTTGGAGTAATGCAATTTATCCTTTAAAATCTAACAGCAATCAGAGACTAATGTTTTTGACTGCAGAACATCCAGCTGAAATCACACCCATCTGCCACAGATATGAGTGAATATGGAAGTCTGTGAAGGCAACATTCATATAAAATGTATTACAGTTACACCTTTCCACAGGCTATGGAGGACTTATAGTAGCTGCAGTGCACTTCCGCCTTGTTTTATTAGGCCTGATTCTCTGTCTGCGCATTAAACACTACTGCAGGCAATACTGAGGAAGACTGAGCTCAGCATCAGCACATGTAATTTACCTGAATGCCTTAGTATCATCTGGGAATAGAAATGGACACAAGAAATATACAGGAAAATTTAAACGGTTCCAAAAAAATTAGGGTACTCGTACTCGTCGTCTTCCGCCTTATCCGGGACCGGGTCGCGGGGGCAGCAGACTCAGCAGAGACGCCCAGACGTCCCTCTCCCCAGACACCTCCTCCAGCTCCTCCGGGGGGAGCCCAAGGCGTTCCCAGGCCAGCCGAGAGACAGTC